ACTCCTCCACACAGGCTTGATCACTGTGAAGTTACTTAGATCTCTACCTAGGGAGTAAGGTGCAGCAAAAAGATGTGACCTTACAACTCCTCCACACAGGCTTGTTACTTAGATCTCTACCTAGGGAGTAAGGTGCAGCAAAAAGATGTGACTGCAGAACAGATCAGATGAAACTGCTGGAAACAAAAGCAGTTGTACAAATCTAAGAAACACAATGTCAAATCCCCAAGAGAAATGAGTTTATAATACACTTGGGATTTTTTCTTTTATATTTTGAGAGGTTTATCTATTTTTTGTTTGAAAATATTTTGCAAGTTTCAGGAAATTTATCCTCAAAAATGACTGAAGATGTTTACAGAACATCAGTATATTCCTGACTGAAGAAAGATTACATTTCTAACATGAACCTTTCTTCCCTCTCCCCAGCAGCACAAGTTCTCCTTTCTTGAGGACTGTCTTCAACCTGCAGCAAGTCTTGGAAATCCTTCAACAACAGATGTGGTCTTTGACTTATCAGTCAAACAGATGATTACAGATACCAGGTCTGTCTTAAGTTAGGTTAACAGAAGCTGCCACAGGGCTTAAAAAAAAAGACCCCTTCTCCCCTCCCCCCAAGCCCAAAGAGTGAAAAAAGATAGCACAGCTCACAAATGAACAGTGTTCCCCACCTCCTCCCCCCAACTTTGGACACTTCTTTCTGAGAAAAAAAAAATTATTTCCCCTCATGTTCCAAAAATGCTGCTTGAAAAATTGTATTAATCTGAAGTGTACCATTCCACAAACTTTTTGGTATTCTGAAGCTGGGCACACTACACTACTATCCTTTTCAAATGTCATTGATGATCACTACAAAAAAGAGTGATGATTCACTTCAAAAATATGAACCAAACATTTACAAAGATTCATTTAAAGAATTTAATATTAATTTTTAAGAAAACACAAATCTGCTCACCTTTGAAAGACTTTTGCTTTCTTGTCTGACTGGATATGCCTGTTCAGCAGATTCACTGACTATTCCTGAACCATTATAGTGTGTTGAGTTGTTAGACTGATACTGTGAGCCAGCTACTGGATACACATTTGCAACAACATCAGGTGAGTAAGAGCAGCTGGAGTATTCACGGAAGGCAGGATCTCCCAGAACACTATGTGATGGATATTGAGAAAGAAATTAAAGTCATCCTGGGGCAAGTCTTCAGCACCTACTTGTTGCCTAGACAAACATATTCCTTATCGAAAGAATTTGTTTAACAAGAAAGCTCTATTTCAAAAGAAAACTATTCCATGTTATTTCAATTAATTATTTATTTACTGCTACAGACTTCTTTAAAAGCAATTAATTTTGTTTTGGAAAAAAATGTAGTTAAGCAAGTATCTTAAAACACACATATTATCCATTTCCAAGTTTCAAAGCTAGTCTGCTTTGCACTTGTAGTTCTCATGCCTGTTTAAGGTTACTGAGATTCTTCATGCTTGTTTTCAGTAAGCTTTTTCTTGTGAAACAAACCAAAAACACAGTGCAAGGACATGGCATGCATCACATTCTTGACTGAAAAAAAAAACCCCAAACATTAAAACCTGTCTTAAAATGACAATAACAAAGTGGAAGTATAACATTTTATGGAGTATAAAACATGTATGAAATATAATGTAGAATTATAAGACAATAATTAACTGACCTGCATGTAACCATCACATTTTATGAAAACACAGCATGTCTGGGGCATGCCTCTTTCTTTCAAATGTAAAAATTCCCTTTCAATTTCCTTCTATACTTTGTCCAGAAAGAACACGAGAGTCCAGATTTGATTAGGGAGAATATAAATTTCTCAGTTTCAGAAAGTTGCACTCAGTTTTTAAAGCTGCTCCATGAAGTTGCCAACCTCAGAATTTTGTGTAGAGAATGACAGAGAATCATTCCCATTGGTACAAAAGACTTCAGATAACACACTTCATACTACCTGTTGCAATTCTGACAGAATGTAGTCAAAATAATGCTTATAATCAGTTTACAAAGAAGAAATATACCAAATGAGACTCAAATACAACTATGTCTCAGTCCCAATAAGGCAGAACACTCATTAGAAGACTACTGTTGTCTGGGTTGTGGGGTTTTTGTATGGTAATTCATCCAATGCTAATGCTGTGGGCTTTCTCTAATGCAGAGAACAGGCCATAATCACCTCAATGTTAAATTTCTTGTACAAATGAAAATAGGTTGAAAATACTAAGATTTCCTGTAGCATAAAATGATGGCCTATGATGATTGTGTTCACTACTGCTCTGAATTTTTAAAGAAACACCATTAACTTTGCAGTAATTGTACAATCAATCCAATGCTTAGGGTCCTAAGAAGCAATCAGAGAATTATGTAACATCACTGGATTCTTACAAGACTGAATTATTTCCTATTCTGCTATGTAGGTTCTTTTTCTAGTTTGCTCTTTATAAAATACTTTTATAAGTCTACCACAAATATCATTCCTGGGCTCTAACAGAAAAATCCCATAACTTCCAGAAACCTGTAGCATTTTCAGTAAAACTGCCTTTCTGGAGATGCACAGGTTGTGGAGAGGAGATCTAGGAGACACCCTATATACTAAACATTTTACAGGATGAGAAACCTTCTTGAAGAATCATTTTCCTTGTGTACAACTACATCTACCTCAGCCTGGTTGCAACACAACCATTCTTTCATCCAGGAACTGGATTCAGCTCCTTCCAAATCACATAAAAACCAGACCAATCATTACAGAACCCCACATTCTCCTTAACACTCTGTAACAACACAGCCCTTGTGAACAAAAGACCAGGTACCTGGTATACACCCAGAGAACATAAATGTAAAAAACTAAATAATGAAGATAATGCAGAAGCATTTCTACAGTTGGACTAACAATATGTTGGAATCTTGACGTTTTAAGAGTACTCAACATCCAAAACCAGAAGGTTAAAAGCCCCCAAGAAATAAGATTCAGAAAATATACATACTTATCCAAAGATGGTTGGTGAACAAATGGGTAGCATGTAGTTAAGTACCTAGGAAAGACACATGCTTCTGAGGGTTCTGACCATGCCACAGTTACCGCCGCATGCTTTGGAACAAATGGTTTGACCTCTGCTGACAACTTGATGCCCTGAGAAACAAAACGTTTTTTGGCTACATGCATTTGGAGATTAATGTTATTAAGTGAAATGCACTCAAGTCTTGTGAGCTTAACTGTCATCAGAAAGTGTTTGCTCTCTTCTACCAAAACATGCAAAACAACGAAGCTCACCAAAAGGAAATGGAGAAATAAAGTGAAAATAAAACTAAGGCATTCAAAGAAACATCTGACTGCTCTGTAAAGTCACTTAATACCCTCAGATATATATATATATGCAAATATACGAATTCTTACTTCATATTTGAACAGTACAAACTAAAGATGATAAATATACTAACAGTACTGTTAGTCAAACTCTGTAACATGTATATATGTAACAATAATGACTTTGTGCACATCTGTATTTTAAGGCTGAAATGACCACTTCATTTTATAGTCTTCTTGTTTCTGGCACAACACAAATTTATTAAGACAAGCTTTCCATTTGTTCTGAATTACCATCGACTTAAATTGGGTATGTATATATGGAAGGACAATTAAATGAAACTCGAAGTATTTCCTGCCATGTCATCAAAACACGCAGGGAGCAATGGCGACTGTAGTAGCCTCATCACTAAGACCGCCTGACTAGGTCATAGCTCCATGTGCATAACACTACCACTACTGGTCAGAATCTGGTCACCCAGCCTTACAGTGTCTGGGACGTACACCTGTCCTTGCAGCAGACCCTCCACTCTGAATGAGAACAGGTTTCCACGCTTGAGCTCACTGAAAGTTAATGTCTGGAGCTGCCCATCCCAACCGGTGGGAAGCGACTCGCCGTGCTCCAACCTGACCGACCCCTGCCCCCCGGTTTTGACCTTCCAGGACTCTTCCCCCAGTCCTGAACCAATGGCTGATCCAAGGAGCGGTGGGAATCACCCTGCCCGGGGAAGCGAATGGACAAGCGGAGCGCTCGGCCCAGGTCGGTGAGCGGCCCCGGGGCGGGGAGCGGCACCGAGGCGCGGCCCGCGGCCCCAGGCGGCTCCCGGAGAGCGACTCCGCGCCAGGAAGGGCCGGGGAGGGTGCAGGGGACTGCAGGTGCTGCCGCCGCCCTTACCTGGCCGCCGCGGCCCGAGCGCGGCCGCCTCTCGGCCGACATGGCGCGGGGGCGCAGCCCCGCTCCCGCCGCCCGGCCCGGCCCGGCGCAGGGCGCGCCGCGATGACGCCGCGGCCCCGCCCGCCCGGGGCGGGGGGAAGGACGGCGCGGGATAAAGGCGGGCATGCACCGGGGACAAGCGCCCTGGACTGCGGTGCTTACATTGCGGGAAAATACATAACTTAAGCAGAGCTCAGCAAAGTTCTTAGTGAAGGTGCTTGCTTCAGACTTGGACAGTCCTGCTCCAACCAGTCTGGTACAGACCTGCACTTGAGACAGACGTCTCTGGCAGCTTTTGGAGAAAAGACAAGGGTTCTTTTCCTCAACAAACTTTCCAGGTTACTTACTTGGTCTGTCTCCGTGAGAGCCCACATTACACAGGCAGAGCACATACTTAACCCTGCCTTTGTTGGCCTTCCAAATTGTGCACAGCCATAATGCAATTTGCCTTTGAAATGAACCCGTGAAGAGCTACTCAATACACAGAAACACCTCCTACAAAGCCACAGTGACAATTTGAATGCAGGATAGGAAGAGCCATCTAAAACCCCAGAGGAAAAAAATTAACTGGTATTGGCAAAGCTGAACAGAGAAGCCTAAAAAGCTCTCCAAACACTGAGTACTACTGAACCCTAAGTTTATACCGAGTACTACCAGGTTCATCAAATGAGTTTTGTTTTTTGAAGTAGGCATTCTTAAAAATATTAGACCATGAATATGTTTTGTCCATTAAATCACAACTCCAGACACACAAGTTTCATAAAACATGTAAACAGTTTATTTCTTAAGCCTGCTTACTAGTAAACAGTTGAACTACTGGATTTGAACTGCAGCAGAAAATTTGAGTGCAAAAGTTATACAACACTAACAAGGGATGAACTAATCAGAACATGCAAACAACACAATTTAAGTCAGAGAGGCACTTACATTAACAGTAAAAGATAAAATCATAACTCTTTGAACATCATAGCAGCCTGCTTGGAATTGCATTTGACTGAGCTTTGTTGCTGTGAATAATACAGCTCATGCACAGGTTTGGATGTATGTTTTGTAAATTTAAAGTATTCACTGAATACTACCAACATATATACACTCATATACATAGTTCCAGAAGATTTAAAAGGCCGTGGATTATTTCTGCTCATCCTTTGGAAGTGGTCTTCTGAATAGCAGAATATGTGGCTCTGCAGAAAGAAAATTGAACAAAGTGTCAGTTCGTCCAAGTCTTGATTAAAGGGATTACTTTAATCTTGAGCAATAGTTGAGGCTTAGTTTCAAATAAGTAATTAAAAGCCTAAGTATGGCCCCAGGCGTAATATTAACAAACCAAGTATACAGTACTCTTACAACAGTCAAGTTTTCATTTTTATACCCAATGCTGGCAGTGTCATAAACTTAAGATCCTTACAGGAGGAAAGTGCTGGGAAAAGAGAATATTACATAATGCCTCTTTACATTAGGCTATTTGATAAACACTGTTATTGTAACTTACACTAACAAACTGCTGATATGGTCTGTTAGGCACATATCAAACACCAACAAAATCCACCTTGGCTAATACAGCCAGCTTACATTATTATCAATCTTCTTAATTTTGAATGCTGCCAAAAAAAGTCTAAAATGTCAAAGGTGCCCAAATAAGGAAAACACTGGAAGGCTATGCTAATTTCTTCACCTGATTCTTCAGAAACTTGGAACTTCATGCTGCTACAAGTTATCAATCAACCTGTTACTTTTTAGTCAGACTTGTCAATGGTACAAGCCAACATCCTAGTTAGTAAGGGTCTTAGGGCTTCACACCCCATTAACTGAAATACTGATTTTTCAGGAGGCTCTACAGCTAGAGTTAATATATCCTCTAGAATTTTCAGAGGATTAATACAGGACCTCGTCTACACAAGCATCTATTAAGTTGTTGTACAAAAAAGTAGATGTGCTAGCTTTATGATTTAAAGATATGCTGCTATATTAACTTTGGTTCACTCACTGCATACTCATGTTATTCAAGAGCTTACAAAAAGCCTGTTTCTATGGGCACAGGCAGGAGCAGTCTCCAGTCTGATATTTGACTATTTCATTTGTCTAGTTCTGTTCAGATATGCTCACCTGGCTCATGAATCATATAGTGAACCCAGCCAAGACTCTGCTGAACACCAAGTCGTCTCCACTCTTCTTCAGACATCAGATGAGATTTTGGCACTTGTTTCGAAAGTTCTCGTGGCAGCATCACATGTCTGTAGAAGTTCAATTATTAAACACACAGACAAAATACTGCACACTAGAAAATTAGAAGAGATCTGCACTGAAAGGCAGTTACCACGTTATGAATACTCACTTGGCCTATAAAGAAAACGACAGTACTGAATCTTGGCATGAATTTGATTATGAAACCCGTCCCAGAAACCCAGTCTAAAATCACTTACGACTATTAAACGTTACATCTGTAAAGCAACTGCATACTGGGAGCCAAATTGTCTTCTAGTCGAGATTTAGACCCCCTCAGACTCCAACGACTATGCACTCAGAGAAGCATGCGCCCCTGGCAACAGGTTGATACATCAGCTATAAAGCAACTGCATACTGGGAGCCAAATTAAATTGTCTTCCAGTCGATATTTAGACCCCCTCAGACTCCAACGACTATGCACTCAGAGAAGCATGCGCCCCTGGCAACAGGTTGATACATCAGCTACTAGAAAAATAAGAACTTTGGACTTCTAAAGTATTTGTAATACCGCTTTCAGGTAAGTCTAGAACAGTTAAACTTCAACAGTTCCCCGCGGGCAGGGGAGGGCGCTGCCCCACCCCAGGCTCTGCCACAGCCCCTTCCCTGGAGCTAGCGCAGCGGGTACCGCCTCTCCGCCATCGCCCTGTGGCCGGGGCTTGTGCTGGCCGCTCCCCAAGCAATCTGCGCCAGCATTCGGTCACTCGCGCCCTTCGTCCCGCCACGCGGCAACCCCCCATGGAGAGGTTCGGCACAGCGCCTTCCCTCGGGCCTTGCGCTCCCTCTGGTTCCGTTCTCCCGGCAGAGTCGCCTCATTCCCTCAGAGCAGCCCGCACACCTCAACCGAGGCGGCTGGCCGAGCTGCCCTCCTACGGAACCGCTCTTCCTACCCATTCCAGCCGGCCCTCCCGCACTCTCCTGCAGCTTCTTACCGGTACTCGTACTGCTCGTCAGAGTACTTATCGGAATAGTAGATCTGCTTGTGGGCCATGGCGGGCGGTAAGGCAGGCTGGAGCAGCGGCACTAACAGCGGCCTCTGGTTCACCCCTCAGGAGCGCCTCGCGCACTAACTGCCCCCTTCCGCGCCCCGCACCGTTTGAATCCAGCCGCTCGCCTCCTATTGGCTCTCGCCGGGGGCCGGCCAATCGCGTGCCGCGCCGCCGCGCCCCACCCGAGACGGCCGCCGCGTGACTCGCACGCTCGCCGCTCCCAACCAATCCTCGGCGGCCGCGGCGGGCGGGGGAGCGTTACGTAACGGGCGGTGGCGGCCGGGCGGAGCGGCGGCGCGGGCTCGAAGCAGGGAGGCGGAGCTGGCGGGAGAAGGGGCGCGGCCGCGGCTGATTGGCCAGCGGCGTCCGGGGCGCGCGCGGGCCCTTCAGCCTGCGGAGGGGCGGCCGTGGGCCACAGTTGGCGCATGCGCAGCCGGACACCGGTCTTCGCCATTGCTTTGCGCAGTTCCCGTTTCGGCCCGGCCCGGCCCAGTCTCCGGTGTGCAGGGGGCCTGCTTATTTCAGGGTAGCGAAAGAATGATGCTTTCGTTCTTTTAGCGGAGCGTCGTGTTCACTTTAATATGGTGCTGTCCCCTGGCTGCCGGGAGCTGCTGTGCTGTCCTGGGGTGCAGCTGTCGGAAAGGCCGCGCCGCCGGTCGTGTTTGCTCAGGGTGAAAGCAGATAAAACGCGGGTGCAGGTGTGCCCGGAGCAGGGTAGGAACTGCGGGCAGCACTTCAGTTGACAAACATCCTTACCGAGAAAAAACACCACGGAATGCTTCCCTGGGAGTAGGGGCATAGCCGGCTGCCGGTGTTGGCTGAGAGGTGCTGCAGCTCCCCAGATAAGCGTGCTCTGTCTGCCCTGTGCTTTGAGATAAGCACGGTGGGAAAGTGTTGCTTTCACAGCGGTGGAACCAGAGAGTGCTTGGAAGGGGCCCCAAAGCTCTCGCAGTTCCAACCACCCGGTGCGGATAGGGACACCTTTCTCCAGGTCAGGCTGCTCAGCTCCGTCTCGCCTGGCCCTGAACACGCCCCGGGATGGGGCATCCAGGCCGGCCCGGGCAGCCTGGTCCATGCTAAACGCCTTTCCATAAATAGTTTATCGATGTCTAAATGTCCGCTCGTGCTCCACGCCCCCTGCCTGTGGTGTGCTCCTCTCTCCTCTCCTTGCTGGGCCTCTGCAGAAAAAAAGGAGATAAGTCGTTAAAGAAGTTTCTGCTTCCTTGGTGCTGCCAGAAACGTGGGTACTGTCTGTGGTTATGTAATGCATCTGTCTGAAAACAGTGCTGATGGAGATAAAAAAACAACCAAATCCATGTGATGCATGACTGCTGATACACATGCGTGGGTAATAGGTATGATTTTTTTAGTAGCATTGTTTCTACTGGCACTGCAGCTTGCCTTAAACAAAAAAAGTTTAAGCCAGTCTCACACCATGCAACCATTAAAACAAGTGCTTCTCATAATCTAGCAGTAATATCTTTCTCTTAATTTGACTATTAGAACTATGAAGACTATGACTATTAATATTTGACTTTGAAGTGAAAGGGGACATTGTACTCTTGACCTGTTAAAGAGTGAGGGAGAGAGCAGTCATTGTTTTTACAGATATCAGCAAGGCTTTTGGCTCCAGGCTCTACCTTTAAAGAGAAGCAGTTGATGTTTGGACTGGGTGTGCAGACAGTGATCTCAGGTGAATGGCCAGGCCCAGAGGATGGTGACACATGACACAAGTCTAGTTGGAGACCAATAAGTGTCCCAGGGGTCAAAACTGGGCCTGAGACTTCTTAACAATCTTTTTAACATCTTCATTAAAGACCTGCACAGTGGGGCAGAGTATACTGGCAAGTTTGCAGTGACACCTAGCTGGGATGAGTAACTGAGAAACCACGGGTTGTGCTGCCAGGTTAAGGAACTGCAGAAACAGGCTGAGAGGAACTTCAGGAAGTTGAAGGGAACAGGTGGAACAAGGTGAAGAGCAAAGTCCTGCATCTGTGGAGCAGCATCCACAGGCACCAGTACATGGTGGGAACTCCGCAGCTGGAGATGTGTTTTTCAGAAAAGGACTTGGGAATTCTGATGAACACTGAGCGGAATGTGGCCCAGCACTGTGTCCTTCCAGCAAGGATGGCTAGCAGTGCCCTGGGTTGCAGTAGGATGGGTGTTGCTGGTAGGTTGAGGGGGGTCATCCCGCCCCTCCAGAGAGCGCGAGCGAGGCCTCTACTGGAGCCCAGCTTTGGGCTCCTGAGTGCAAGAGAGAGATGGGGCTGCTAGAGAGAGTTCAGTGAAGGGCTGCAAAGATGAAAACCTGTGTGTGAGAACCTGGAGGCAGGATGCAAAGAAGACCAGAACCAGGCTCATTGCAGTGGTGCCCAGTGACAGGACCAGAGGCAGTGTGCACAAACTGAAACATGGGATGTTCCTTATGAACATCAGGAAGCCTTTTTTACTGTGAGGCAGATGGGACACTGACAGAGAGCTACTGGATTCTCTAACTTTGGAGACCTTCCAAAGCCACCTGGACATGATTCTGGGCAATGGGCTGTAGGTGACCCTGCTTGAGCAGGGATATCAGACCATATGACCTCCAGAGGTCCAGCCTCAGCCACACTGTGTGGTACTGTTTGAAACAGGCTCTTCATCATTGTCTACAGGATACTGCTACTCAAAAGGGCTGTGTCAGTCTCATTGAAAGAAGGAAATAAGCTGTTCTGTACATTTTGGAGAGAACAAAAATGCTTGAACTTTGTCAAGGCAGCTTTGTCTACACCTAAGGAAACATTTCCTACCAGTACATAATTTAAATGTCTTAGAACATTTCAGAAAAAAAACTCACTTTCTGCAGTAATGTTTTAGGTCAAACTGATCCTGTCTCTGATCCGTGCTTTCTTTGGGGCCTGCTTTCTATGGTTGTGTCAGTTATGCTTTCCCACTGTAACTTTTGCAAATACAGAGTGTAGAACAAAAGTAATTTTTTTCTCTCCTGTGCTCTAGAATGACCTTTTAATTGTAATTGTTATGTTTTCATATTCCAAGAAGTTAGTTTCTGGAATTAAGATTATCAAGTGATGAATTGAATCCTCAGTCCAAAGATTCTGAACCAGGTAAGAAGTGAGTGAGACCACAAATATCCGTATTTATTAAAGAGAAAAGCTGCTGAGAAGCTTTATTATACACTTTTGCCTCAGCATGTTGAAGGCATGTATTAAAGCACTTATGAAAGAAGTTTGCCATAGTACAGACTAAAATGTATTCCACATAGCCTTAGGGGTATAGGTTTGTTAGGAGAAATGTGAGTGAGCTGTGCAACTGGAATGTAAGCTCCTGCTCAGAGACCTGTGTGATTAGGGCAGCAGCTGTGATTACATTGCTGTTGAAACACAGGATAAAATGGCAGAACACAAAGAGAGTATTCTTGAGCATCCCTCTCTCCTGTAGCGTTAACAAAAGCACATATAAAATGGAACACTGGTATTCTGCGCTCTGTATGTGAACAGCATGACTGTAGTCATCATAGAGGCTCTCCAGAGCTAAAGGTACACCATGGACTTTATTGTGGGGCATGATTTTGTGTCTAGACAGGAGCAGGTTTAAATCCTCTGTGCAACCTGTTTGCTTGTGACTAAGGCCATCCACAGAGTTATGGGGGAAGTGACAAAACTGTTACAATGAGGGGCCCATGTGCACCTTAACTATTGCATTTAGAGAGGTCAGGATGTAAGTTATGTATATGAAAATATTTTCTGTGCTTTTTGTCAGAAGGGGGAGATGAAAAATTTCCCATCTGTGCTGTGCATAGCAGTCTCTGATTAAAAGTCTCTGCAGATTTTCCTGCTTAGTTCTGTGAGATATTTTAAAAAAGAAAAGTTTTATGTACTTTTACTGTGCTTCAGTTTTCAAACATGTCCTTATAAAACACTAATGTCAGATGCTTAAAAGTATTTTTCTGAATAGAACAGCAAGATCAGAGTCAAGGAACCTTTTGTACTTTCTTCATGAGTCATAATCATATACACAGTTAATAACTTTTGAGTAATTTGAATGTGAATCACATTCATAGCACATATAGATAAACTGTTATCTGTGGTTTTATATTTTCAATGTTTCTTATGGAAACAAGGTGTACACAATCGTACTTCTCATCAGTTTTGATCCTCAACTAACTTTTGAACCTATTGGCTGAAACTTAAATCTTGATAAATCATTGCAAGTTTTATGATAACAGACAGGTAAATAGAGCAGAAGAACTCTGATGGGGGATGATGTTACAATTAAAATTGCACCTTATTAGAGAACCTACATGGGACAAAAAGCTTTGCATAAATGCTTTAGGGGAAAGTATCTTTCAGCATTTGGCATACATGCCTTCTGAGACTGCAGAGCCACAAATCATGAGTCAATAGAAAACAAATCTCATTTAATTCTTATATTCAGTAAGGTAACTTTCTATTTTTAATTTTATTTGCTGGCTTTATATGGTGTTTGCCTAGTATTCAGCAACACTAGTTCTCCCCAAAGCACTCTCAGGCTGCTTGTATGTGTAATTTTAACAGTATTTGTCTCTGAAGGTTTGATCTTCAGAATTTACCTCAATTTAGATGGTTAAATTTGAATTTACTGCCTTACTTAATTTGAAGGACTTTATCATAAGTGTTTAGTTGTATGCTAATTAATATTCCTTTAGTAGATGCAGAAGATGGATCATTTTTGTTTTGTTTTGGTCTGCACAAAATTGTGGAGAGACTAAAGAATGATGCTATGGTTTGATGGTCTAGCTGACTGTGAATAAAACAATGTAAGTGTTGAAAATAATCCAGTTGAATTGCTGAGGGTTGTCCTCTGAGAGAGGATAAAATCCCTTGAAAAATTGAGCCAATTTTGATGCATGCTCCATCCTGTTCCTGTGCTGGTTCAAGAATTGCATTTTGAAGGTGTTCTTGAATAGATTATTGAATAAATTATTCCCAAGTCATAGAAGTGCCCAGCTTGCAGGATGAGTATAGAAATGCAGAATGTCTGTGATCCATTCAGGTCATTGCAGAGGTTGGAGGCTAATGTCGATCCTTGTCATTTCATTGAGATT